CCTGGCCCCCTCTGAGCCCCTTCTGAGCCGGCGGGGCCACGTGTTTCAAGGGGAGTGTTGAGGTCCATGTTTCAATAAAGCCAGAGGCAATTTAGAGGGGGTTGCTTTATGATACCGTAGGCCAGACACATTTAATGGGAGACATCTGACCTAACTGCTCCCGATTCCGTCGAAAACGCAGTATTTGCGTTCACGCAATCAAGGAGGGTTCATATGTTGACTAGCAGGAGGTGAGCTAGATCAGATTTCAATTCGCTTCGTGAACTTGAGAATGGATTTCGTAAACCTGCTTAACGTGTATTTATGCAGACGTCAGACGCTTACTTTTTGTCTCTGCCCAACGGCAAACTGCTTTTTGCATTTGGGCGATGTTAGCTTTCACCGACTATTCCAAGTACTCCCTTCTCGGCATTCCGCATTCAGCCAAGTTTGTGAACAAATTTTGTCATCAATACTTTCTGAAGAGAATATTTTTTTTCGCTCTGGCATCGTTTAATGGACAAAAAACTTGAAATGGGGGAGAGTGGTGGATCAGGTGCCGAAAGGCTGGTACTGGGTCCTTGTGCCAGCCAAGAGGTGTAGCCCATTAAATTTAGCTGACAGCAGTTGTTTGACAATAGACATTCACTGAGTCAGGTTCCCACCCAAATTTTTGAATGGTTCCACCCTTGTTGACTTTTTACTTTTAGGGGGGCAGACTGGTTGGAAAACAATTATGAAATTCCATTCAGCTTTGTTGTTTGAGAGAGATTGGATTTGTCCACAGGATCTGTGCACCAATGAACAGCCAGTATCATATGTTCGTTCTCTGTAGTGGCTTCGGATTTAAGATCCCCAATGAAGTATGTTTTAATGTTTAGCTTGTTGTCCGAAAATGCATGACCAGTAGTTTTACTTACTTCTACATGATATCCTGGTGACTGGTGAATAGTTCAATAATATGGCGATGTTCTAAAGCTAGGTATTGCAGGCGGAGGACTAGAGGGCTTGTCCGGGACAGCAGTGTCCTGCTTGATGCAGTATGTGTTCGTCCCACGCGAAATGACACGAATGGGTCCTTCGTAAGGTGATTCCAAGGGTCATCGAACTCGAAACCATCGTAGAAAGACGTGAGAACAGGTCGCCTAGTCCTTATCGAGATAAGCTTCAGGGCCTGGGTGGAACCCGAGAAAGCGTCCGCAAAAATTGCCTTAGGCAATCCAGGAGTTTGGTAAGATCATCGGCCGCACCTTGAGGGGATGGCAAATTCATTTCGCCGGACAGACGGACGGGGGCACCGAAAACCATTTCGATAGCGCGGCAGTTGTGGTCCGACTTGAGGGAGGAGCGGATGCCCAAGAGGACCAAGGGGAGATGGTCCGTCCAGTTCTCCGGATCGCCCGCGGCGCGTAGAGAGACCTTCATCTGGCTTTAGTGAGAATGTTGATATAGCTTTAAAGGAGAGAAGAAACTGGAAGATCTTAGACTCGAATTGAGCACCGCGATCAGTTGTGATAGAGGGAACACCGAAGATGGCAACTGGGGAAAGCCTTGACCACCGTGGAAGCCTCGACGTTGGGAAAAGGGATAGCCTCGGGCCACCGGGTGAATTAATCCACGCAGGTGAGAAGGTAGGGGCAGCCGTTGGACAGAGGCAGAGGGCCTGCCATGTCCAGGTGGATATGATTGAACCTTGCATCAGGGCCGAGGAAGGTGCCATTAAATGCATTGTTATGCCGATTGACCTTGCTCCGTCGACAGCTTAGGCAAACCCGTGTCCAAGCTTTGAGGTCCTTGTGCATCTCTGGCCAGACGAAGCGATCAGAGACCAACTTGTCGGCTGCTCGACTGTCAAGCTGAGATAGGTTTTACACTGAGATAAAACTGTGCGGTGAAGGGATGGTGACACGAATGGACGATGAGAGGTGGTGGAGAGGTGTTTGTGTGTGTGTCGATGAAGGGCTCGCTCCGCCGAGTTGACAGAGGTGGGACTTGTACTTGTTGTGGCTGTGATCATGCCTGATATAGCCGGCCTCAATGATGTCACGAACGGTACC